TACAGTTGTTTGGAGAGAAGAAAGACCGTCCTTTGTATTTTGTTTTGTTTTTGTCATTTTTTGACATCAAAACAAACAAACAAACAAAACTGATGAGGTGCAATTGATACAGAACGTGAATCTAATGAATTACCAATACCAGCGCCTATGCAATTAAATATGTAATTATATTTAAATAGACAATGACAATCAATCAGAACTCTCATGTTATTTTATCTTGTTTGTTCTCAGAACAAAATGAACAAAGAGAAGGTATAATTTCAGATCAGCTAAATGTGAATCTAATGTAAATAATCACTTACATAACTATGTAATTACATATGTAGATATGTATTACTGTTGTTTTGCTGTACTATCTAAATTGTATTTTTCATAATATATCAAAACAAAAGTAAAGCCTCTAGACTGCATTTCTGTGATTTGTTTTTGGCACAAAAACTAAAAGAAAAGGGTGAAAAGTGCATATTTAGATTTTGTAATTTTATGAGCAATTATAAGAAACAGTAAGAACTCTTGATGAAATGTTTGCATGTTTTATGAGTTTGTCTTGACATCAAAACAAAAGAAATTCAAAAGCGGAGATTCAAACAATCCAAATGTTCATATTCTGAAAAAAAATATGCACCTATGTAATTAAATAGTCACTCATACTGGAACAGTAGATCGACACAATAGTAAGAACTCTAGACTACATTTTTGCTATGAACTTGTCTTGAAAACAAACAAAAAATAATAGATTCAAAAATGCAGATTTAAACAAATCTAAATGTAAAATCTGCAAAATTGTACGTAACTACATAATTAAATAGCAAATTATTTTGTAACAGAAGATCAAAACGACAGTCAGAACTCTAGGCCACATTTTTGTTTGAGATCAAAACAAAAAACCAAATCAAATTCAAAAATGCAGATTTAAAAAATCCAAATGTAAACTTTATTAAAAAAATGAATCACGTATCCATGGAATTAAATATGTAGCTATGTTTAAACAGCACAGCGAGACGACAGTAATAACCTTAAAAGTCGACGTGTTAAAGGACACCCAGACATTTTATGGGACGTTTTATGGACAAATAACAAAATAGCACTCATGAGGATGCGCACTCCTGATGAACTCCGGGGCACAGCGACCAAAATAAATAAATAAGAAAGAAAGAAAGAAAGAAAGAAACCAATCTGCGATTTCTCTGCCGCTCCCAGCTCCCCATGTAATTACACAACCTGTTGAGTGTTGTCCCTGAAACACGGCAAGTCACCAGAGAATTAATGAAATGCTAGGCTGGACAGAGAGAAATTGCCTGTGTAACCTATAGTCAAGGTGCCCTTGTGATATTTTTCAGGGTGAAATGCATCCGGAGAACGTAAGGGGAAATCTCATTGTGCCCAAGTCCACATCGCCGCCCTCTTCCTGCACATCAACCCCAATAAAAGCGCAGGACCGTTCAGACGGCACGTAAATGCTACTTGAATTTAATGAACGTTAAGAGTAATTTCTACTATTTCCCACTGATGCATGTGGTTTTACCTCTCAAGCACTGTTCATTAAGTTGTGGGAATAATATCCTGCTGTCTGTAATGATCTGCCTTTCACTTGCACTATTTTTATGGCTGTTATAATTTGCACCATTAATTTACTCAACTCTGTACACTGTACGTTACTAGTCACAGTCTTTACTGTCTCAAACCGTTCCCTATGTTTTCACTTGAATGCACTGGCTACTGAGCTTTGGGTCAGTTGTTCTGCTTTACTCATTGTACTGTAATTTACTGCAATGTCTTGTTTAATTGCACTGTGTATTGTGTGACTTGCTCATTTGTACTGTGTGGCCATAAACCACACACTGCAAATGAACAATGAGCAAATGTCAGTGTTTATTCATTCCAGTGTACACCACTGTTCAAAAGTTTGGAATCACTTCTCACGTTCATATTAACACAAGTTTCTAGTTTTATATACAATTATAACTTAGATTTAAATTTGTCACACTTTAATTTTATAGTCTCTACTAATAATTTCTACATACATTCATATGCAAAAGGTTTGGTCATGAGTTTTGATGGTAACACTTTCTATGAATGTCGCGTTTGTAAGCATCTATAAACACATTTATAACATGTTATAATGTATTCATAAGGCATTATAAACGTGGTTATAAATATTTCTAAAAAAGAATTATACTGAATTACACTTTATAGCCATGTTTATTATACATTATGAATTGTTAATATAATGCATTATAAGTAGTGTTGATAACATGTTATAATGTCAGTGCCAAAGAAGTCAGTCCCAGCTTGGACAGCATAAAGTAAAGACAAATACCAAGCTAACGGTGGTGTACATTACCTTTCCCACATTGGGTAAAACACTGATGGCAGCTCTAGTTTAAACTCTGACATTTGAAGCCTGTAATGTGCTTTATTGTGAATGTTTTAGTGTTTCAGTAAATCCTTCAGTAAATACTTCAACTTGAAGCCTCACTCTTAACACTGGAGGAGGCTTTAGTACAGTACACTTCACTTTACTTAGAGCGGACAAATACAACTTATGAGCTCTTATAATTTGTTATGATCAGTACTTATAATGTATTATGTTAACAATTCATAATGCATAATAAACATGGCTATAATGTATAATGCATTTTTATACATATTCATAGCTATGTTTATAATGTCTTATGAATGCATTATAACATGTTATGAATGTGTTTATAGATGCTTACAAAGGTGACATTCATAGAAAGTGTTACTGTTTTGATTTCATGTAATTTAAGTGTAAGTTAACACTATCCCTAACCCTTCTACAAAGAACACACTTCTGCACATTTTAATGCACAACTGCTACGTATTTGCTGAATTTAACATATTGGAAAAAAAAAATACAACATAAAATCTGGCCCTGTGCAAAAGTTAAAAAAGCTAATTTTATATTTATCACTTATTTTTTTTTCCCCCAATATGTTCAACTTTGCAAAACAAATGTGTTTATTTGCAAAAAAATGCCATATTTTAAATTTGTTCTCTGTAGAAAAATGTAGAACATCACAAAGACATTTCACTGCTGTCAGAAATAAAACCTCATATCTCCAAAATATTCACTGTACAGGAGAAGGAAAAACATACTTCACGTTTAATGTAAGTCAGTGGAACCAGATTGTTTTCCAAGTCATTTTGGGCCATTTCTGTTGGTCCACTCGTCATGAAATTTACACACAATAGAAAGGGAAACATTTTCAAATTTTGTCAAGACCTGAAAAATAACAAAAATGGAGATACGAGGCTTTGTTCTGACAGCAGTGGTTTACAGGGTGTGTTTACATTTTTTCATATGACTGTGTGCTTAAATAGTTGATCTGGTAAAACTTAACACTTTATTAATAGTGCTAAGGTTAGGGTTAGGCTTAGGACCAGGTTTAATAGAATATTACAATCTGTTACATTAAATTTAAAGTTCTGCTGCATTGTCTTGATTTTTAGTTACACAGTTGAAAATGAAGTGAGCATCTACAAAAAGCAGCTGAATAACCAAAGTAACCCCTTAATATTCCAGGTTTATTTCATACGAAGGCTTATTACTACAGGGCCTGTAATGCAAACTAGTGGAGCTCTTCTTAGGTTATAGAAGTGTGTAATAAAACTTTGGGCCTGCTGACGGACCAATGGCTTGTTAAGGAGTTAAATTTTAAAACCTTAAAATGTTACAGACACTAATAAGTGTGTTTTTACATGTTTCATGACTACATGGTTCAAGATTTCAAGCAAGAAACAAGGAGTTATATTGTATAGTACACGATAACATGCTAAATTATCTACTGACAATATTTTTTGCCAAATTTCATCACCACGTTTTAATACAAGGTATTGTGATATTTCTTTTCTACTATAACTTGATGTTCTACAGCTTTCTCTGTGATCTACAGCTCAAGGTGTGGTTCTGGGCACCAATTCTAACATTTCTAACATTCGTTTTTTTATAAATTCTGAGCTTAAAATGATGTTGCAGTGGACTAGCATATGATTGAGAACACTGATTCCAACATTTTGAATATTTTGGACAGACTGGTAATTCTCAATTCTTGAATTTGCTTCTTTTAAGCAGAAAGAAACAAAGGGACTCATTCACCAATACCTTCCTAAGATTTTTCATAAATTTGGTTTTTACCTAAGAACAAATCCCAAATAAGAGAACATTGGTGAGTCAGAATCTTGGTGAAAACTGCGTAAGTGGGTTTAAGAAGAAATTCCTTCTTAAGAACTGTTGGTGAATGAGGCCCAATGTCCAGAGCTTTCCTATGAATGTTGACATTTACAATAGTGAGTGTGTTTACATGCACTCAATAATCCAATCATAATTGGATTTCTGCAGTTATCTGATTATTGAAATGGTCATGTAAACTCTGATTTCTTAGATCAGAGTAAGGTCTAGAAATCTGATTAAGAAATCCGATAAAAAGGCTGAATTTTAGCTCACTAGTCAGATTTCTCAGTGCTGTAAACTTTTACTCTGATTTCTTTCCATTTTCTCAGTCTGAGCATGTGCGAAAACAGACGGCGGCACCGGAAATAAGCGAGCAGCGTCACTCCAAAAGTGTTTTGTTGCGTCTTGCGGCGACGCCGCTCGCTTACTTCCGGTGCCGCCGTCTGTTTTCGCACATGCTCAGACTGAGAAAACGGAAAGAAATCAGAGTAAGAGTGAAACCAAATACATGCTTGGCGAAATGAAGGATTCAAATATTCTTCATCTTCTAGATGATGTTTGTTCATATTTTCAGGTAAAGTGTCGCAATGTTTAAAAAAAAAGCCACGTCATGAAGTTTTACATTTTACATTACGTTTACATCGCATCTTCTTCTGTGAGTTTATTGGCTGGTTGTAAAGCAGAAACCTGATTACTGTCTGACTCATGTAGACCTGGAGTTTCCCCATTATCTGATCATTCAAGTGCATGTAAACTGACAAAATCAGATTTTCTGCAGTTATCGGATTATTAAGTGCTTCTTTACCTGATGAGGCTGCGTGAGGCGTCTTGATCTCGGGCCGTGACCGTTCCAATGATCGTGTTTACAGGAGCGTTCTCGTGGACATCAAAGACGTAAGTGGACTTTGAAAAGACGGGCGGCTCGTCTGCGTCCTCCACGTTGATTTTGATGGTCGCTTGGTCCATGAAGGTGCTGCCGCTCGTTGAAGATTGAACGTTTGTAGCCACCACAGTCAGATTGTAATATTTTTTGCTCTCGAAGTCCAAAGCCTGTGAGAAGTGAAAGAGATAAATATCTTTTACTAATGACCACAGCAGCAAGGACAAATGCGCCCAGCAGTGATGGATGAAAGCGTGCGGAGTTTGCAGGTCCGTGCGCTCCGGCAGGGCCTAACAACAATACACAACAACAACAGATGAGGAAGGCAGCGCTGCGAAACACAATAACATGAGAAACAAAAAAAAAGAAAAGAAAAAAAAATGTTATTTAGTGGCAATAACCGCGCTCTCACCTGAAGCGCTGGAAGTGTTATTAATTTGTGCTGTGAGACAGCATCTGTTTGGGATTTAGATGAGCCTGCAAATAAGGTTAATCTAATGGAATCACAACGATTGCATTGCAAATTGTTAAGCAATCATGAAAAATATAATTTGTATGTTTGTGTTTTCTGCGAAACAAAATTATCCCGGCCTACAATACCATGACGTTAACGTGGTTAATGTATTCTCCGGGGCAGTGATCCAGAGGAGGAATATTATTGAAGTATCAGGTAAAAGCAATTTGGGGAATGATTTGTACGACTGGATGAATATTTGAGATTTCGCTGTGAGAGAAAAGGGCACGAAAACAAATCCACACTGCTGCTGTGATGCGCTTTACTTCAGCAGGAGTTTGAGTTACAGAAGGAGATCAGGGTTCGTTTTTTTACGAGTTCTACCTCTCTGTATTTGCAGCGTGTAAAAATGTCACAGTTTTATCCTCCGACTGACTCCTTCATATTCAGCATCACCTACTGGATGCTGGAAAAAATGGGCTGAGTCACTGCTGTGCTCAACAAGCAGGATTTATAGTGAAAAATAACTCCAGCCAAAGCTCAGTGGAAAGGAAATGGGTGCCTACAGCACAAAGAAGAGTTTGCAGTGTATTTTACTTTGCAGAGATTCACTGTAAAAATGATTTTGCGCTTTAATTAGAAAATAAGTAACCTGGTGGCTTTGAAATTACCATCAATTTATTTTAAGGAATGCACATTTGTACTTGGACTTTGTTAGATCAGTAAAGCCCAAATTAGACCCATCCAAATGGTTTCCTCACTATATGTTAAGCTTTATTCATTATGACCTGCATTAGTACAAAATTGGTTATATGAAAATCACTAATAATTGCATTATTATTGCAACACAACAGAACTCTAGACTATATTTTTGTTTGACATCAAAACAAAATACAAATATTTTAAAATGCAGACTCAAACAATCTAAATGTAAACTGCATTTAAATAATTAATTATGTACCTATGGAATTAAATATGTGATTATGTTTAAATATGCTAGCAAGAGGACAAGAATAACCCTAGAAGTCTAAATGTTAAGGGACATGTTATGTATCACTGGTTCTAAATGGTTTACTAACTATGTATTAAGCTTTATTAATAATAATTGCATTATTAGTTGTAATAACTAGCAATAAACACTTGGTTAAGGACTTGTCATTCAAATTACTGAGCATGAATCATGATAAAATTGTAAAACTTGTATAATATTAGATTTATTTTACTAGAGGTTCTAGATAATGTCATGTGACTACTGCAGATTATTATTTTAGAGCTAATAAGAGTTTATTAAGTCAATAATAACTGTGTTCCATATTCTAAAGTGCAGTTTTGGTTATTAAAAATTGGAGGCTAAAAAGTGCTTCACTAATATGTATGTGATCATGTGTATGAGTCCCATACAAGAGTTCAGTGGCTAAAACTGCACTCTAGAATCTGGAACACATCCTAAAATATTAGTCTTTTTAGCTCCAAAGTAATAAACTGCAATAAATTAATAAACATGACACTATTTAGAACCTAGAGGAATCAAATTGTGCAAATTATACACCAAAAATATGAATTTAGGTGACAATTCATGCTCAATAATTTACAAAACAAGGTTACTGCATTTTTACAACTCAAAATGCAATTGTTGGAGATTTTCACATGACAGACTTCCAATTATGTATGAATGCAGGTCATAATGAATAAAGCTAAATACATAATGGAAAAAAAAAATACAAGTGTTTAATTTGGGCTTTACTTAACGAAGAATGAGACCTTAATAAACCCCCAATATGCATTTTTTTTTAAATAAAATGTTTCCATTTTTAAAGTTAATTTAGAATCAGAGGTAAGTAAACAAAATCATTCAAAATCAAAATGTAAACAAATTCATTCAGATTGGTTTGGTGTAAAATGCTCTGTTCAAGAGAAGCTTACAGAGTTGAATTTGCTCACAGTGCTGGTGGAGGGAAACATGCAAGATAGGCAAAATAGTCCCTGAAGAAAAAATATTATTTCAGATTTTGAACTGTTTACCATCATCAACATTCCATATAAGCTCAGAAGACTCGTGTAGGTTCACTGGTGGTTTTGGATAGTAAATAAAATGTCAATATTTGTGTTGTAGTCATGGCGACCCCTGGTTCCTATCACCACCACTGTAAAGACATCTGAACCATTTCACATCAAACCACTCTAAATCACTCTGTTTACACCTCACACGCTGAAATTTGGTGGAAAAAGTGTCTGATGTGTGTAAAAATGTCTAAACATTCAGTCTGTATATGAGAACTAAGCTGCAAAAAGAGTCCATTTTGATTTAATATATTTACATATATGCACCCATTCCGCCCATTTGACAGTGAGGGTGTTCAGACAGGTCTGCTTTTCCACAATAAAAAATGAAGGACGTTACTGGGCAGCCAATCTGAATAGAGGTCATTTACATATATCAGTCTTAAAGACACAGTAACAACTGTAAGGGATTGAAAATGGTCATGTTTAAATGAATTACAACTGTTTTTTAAACAGAAATCCACACAAATGTCATCAAGGAAAATAAATAATTACTACAATGAAAAATTTGAGGTATGGGCCCTTTAAAGGGTCTTGCTGGACCCATACATCCAAGCCCTGAGAGTCACCGCTGTGCTCCATAAGCAGGATTTATAGTGGAAACTTCAGGCCGGCTGCAGCAGGACACAGCACAGAGGGCCTGGCAGTGGAAATTAGTGGCCATAGCACAATGAAGAATTTACAGTGTGTGCTTATGTTTTAAAATAGGCCCAGGCTCCCAGCGGGGAGGTCAGTGGATGCTGGAGCCGGGCCGAGCGAAGGCCAGCTGGGACAGGAGAGCAGCTGGAGTCCCTCTACCAACCGGAGCTTTGATGTCGGTGTGGCAGGCAGCAGGGCCAGTGTGTGTGAGTGGGGGTGTGTGTGTGGAGGGGGGGGCGGGGGGGGTGCCCCTCCAGCCCTCGTCTGTCACAGTCCAGGACGCCTTAGGAAGCATTTAATTTTATTAAGCTCCCTCTTCCTCCACTGCCTTTATGCGGAGTGTGAGCACTGGGGCACCTGCTGAAATGAACCGGTTTGCTAACATGCTAACATAAACTCATGCTGTGACGAAGTACAATTTAAAGCAACATTCTGATGAAAAATCTCAACAATTTTCATTTTCCATTTATCTTAAAGCAGGGCTGAATGTAAACGTCTTTGAGCTGGTAGTTCTGGTGATAAAAGTTGCAAATCTCGTAGCCCAATTAAAAAAGTTGTGGCATTGAGGTAGAAATGAGGTAAAAACACTTTTAAAAAGTATTAAATCCAAAAAGTGGGACCATCTGTCATTTTAAATATGGAAAAAAAGAAGGTTTTGGTGAAATATTTTGAATTTATTTCAGATTCCCATCAACAGGGCAACATTAGCTTTTCTGCAATCATAGAAAGAGAGGAAACCCACACCAGCAGGAGCTCAAAAAGCTTTACATGTAGTTGCAGTCATATATTTCAAAACAAGTGAGGCTGTGTTTTATAATATGTGATTTTTAATTGAATCATTTCATTCTATACAGGATGCAGGCTAAATATAGAAATTGCACTAGGCATAGCAGAAGGTACTTTTTATCAGCAAATCAAATCAGATAATGTTTACTGTCACACAGATGCAAAGGTGAGTGATAATCTCAGGTGTGTAGCCCCCTTGTAGTACCTAACAGGCAAACTATAAAATCTTAAATTGCTGCTGGCTTTGCATACAACAGTACAGCCCCAAATTCAACAACTTTTGGGAACTTTGTACTTCAGAAAAACTTTTGTTTACAAAGACTTTAATTTGTTCCACAATGCTCGGATTACCCAAAGGACTACAACTACCACAATCACTAGAAATCATTGTGTGAAGACGTGTGATGTCTGCTTCTTTAGTTCTGCACTGGAGCTACAACAGGCATTCAAAATGTATAGATACCAGTTCATGTTGTGCAAAATGGAGGCCTAAGTCATCTAAAATGTGCCTTAAACTGTGTTGAGTTGTTAAGTAGACTTGATTATGTGGTTTGTGACTCATTGTTATCTATGAAATCATGTCAGCACAGTTTGTAGGCTCGTTGAATCCTACATTTAGTCCATGTAAGCTTCCTTTGCAAGTGTGTCATGATTTAACCATGCAGTTAGCACCATGGTAATTGCTAAGGTACATGCTTTCAATACTTGTAATTCACTTTCAGAAATAATGGTACTAAACTGCCACTGGGGTGGGACCCTCAAGGCTCCATCTCAGTACCTTTAGTCAGGGAACATAACTGAACCATAATCCACTGAAATGATATGTTCTAAGCTGTACTGACTCCACACACCCCGTCTCGTCTCCAGGCTTTTATTTTACTGTTCTGTTTTAAAACATTCGGTTATGAAAAGGTACAAATACGAACTTTTCACCTGGAAAAACTTATTTAAGGTTCACAATCAGAACTTAAAACCAGTGTTGTACCTTCGACAGAATATTTACTTTGTTTGTGGCTCGATGAACAAAAAATGGACCTGCACAGAAACTTGGAGCACAGAAGCTCCAAGAACCAAACGTGAACTGCCTGATCAGCTACATTTGGAGTAATTGGGAAATTGTGTATGTTTGATTTTTCACCCAGCTGATAAACCAATACCTTTACACCCTGATACTGGCCTTTCAAAAGAAAAAAAAAAGGAAGTTTGGTTCACTAAAAAATTTGCACACACTCAGCTACGCAGCAGTTTTGTTCCCTTTCAGACTTTCCCCTTTTCTTCATACCTCTAAAACTGATGACTAAGAATATCTTATTATGTTTGGTATAGTGGGGGGGGGTGCTTGATCATGCAGATTAGCACAGTTTGGAGGGTTTCAACAAGCTCCTGTTCTTTATGGAGCAATTCCGCTTGGAAATGTAACATCGTCACCCCCCCTCCTTCAATAATAATGCATGCCATTTGATCCCGTACACCGAGTCAGCCGTACTTGATGCCCGTTCGCAGCGCTATTTCATTACTCATTGTTCTGTGGGGGCTAAATACGGCTGTCACTTGACCTCCATCGCCACGATTCACTTTTCATATTGGCTGTGCGGATGCAGCTGAAGTGTCTGGCTGCTAGCTAGCTGCTGTGTGGAGAGTGTGGAGGCTGACTTGCATTAGCTAGCCTGCTCCCACCACTTTTTTTGGTCTTCGCGGTTTGATGCTCATGGCCTGCAGCGCTGTTTGCTGAACACCACGCATCCCCTCTCGTACCCAGCATAGGTTTTTAGAGTGTGTGAATACGGGGGGAATATTTAGAGACATCAAAGATCGGCGGGGGGAAGTAGCTCGGCCCTCTCAGCCACCCCCATACTAGCCTGAGGGGGGGTGGCGATGGGGGAAGATGAAAGCACACACACACACACACACACACACACACACAAACCCCTCAACAACAAAGCCGAACTCCACCACCGCCGTGGACTTCTACTCCAGATCAATACGTTTAACCTCGCTACAAAGAGTCTTTGATAATTTGGGCTCAGCATTTACCTCTATTAAAAATAAAGGTGCTGATAAAGGTTATTTGGAGGGATACACTTTAGTTCCCCAGTGAAAAAAAAAAAATAATAATAATAATATGGTGTTGCCTCAGTGTTATTATTTGACTGAACTTCAATTGACGCATATTTGATGCTTGGTGAACTCTAAATTTTAAGGCAGCCGGGCTATTTAGTTTTAAACAACAAAGCTTTTTCACAGCATAACAATGTTTTTCAAAGGATTTCTTAAAAGAATCAATTCTGTAAATAAGACATGCAAGGATGAAACACATGTTTAAACATTTTAGAACCTCCACACAATGTAAAACTTCTATAAACATTGATCTGTCCATCTGTCTACTCTTTCGCAGCTGCTATTGTTAGGTTGGAAAAATGTTTAGAACACTGATGAAAAATCCCATTCAGCCTAATGAGAAACTGTAGAACAGACTCAGTTTATATCACAATACCTACATTTAGAGTCGGTTATTCATTCAGCCTAGTGAGAAACTGTAGAACAGACTCAGTTTATATCACAATACCTACATTTAGAGTCGGTTATTCATTCAGCCTAATGAGAAACTGTAGAACAGACTCAGTTTATATCACAATACCTACATTTAGAGTCGGTTATTCATTCAGCCTAATGAGAAACTGTAGAATAGACTCAGTTTATATCACAATATCTACATTTAGAGTCGGTTATTCATTCAGCCTAATGAGAACCTGTAGAACAGACTCTATATAAACCCTATATATGATTGAATATAGTACAAAACAACATATCAAATGTTGAAACTATGAAATTCTACTATTGTTTTTCAATTAAATATATGCCCATTCTGAATTTGTTCAGTTCCCAAACACTTCCAGACTGTTGATAAAAGAAGAGATGACTCTAACTTTCAACTTTTTTGAAACATGCTGGGATTAAATTCAAAATAGGTATATATTTTTCAAAAAACAATAACACTTCTCAGTTTCCACATTTGCTGTGTAGTCTTTTTCAATTAACTATAGGGTTTAAATGATTTGCACATCATTGATTTCTATTTTTATTTACAGTTTGCACAGCTTCCCAACTTTGTTTGGAAATGGGGTTGTACACTTACAAGTTATTCACAGTTTCTCACTAGGTTGAGTGAATAACTCGCTTGATACGTCCAAGTCAAACAACTATTCTTACCATTTCAAAGGATGTAGCCCACCAGTATCTCTTTTTTATTTATTAGATGAAGGTTCGGTGGTCAAATACACCCATTTAACCTTTTACTCGCTTAAACATTATAGCTAACACTTTTCTTCCTAGCCAACAAGGTGCCATGGAAAACGGATGTTAGCACACAGTGGTGGATGCTAAATAGGGAGGGAAAATAAAGGTTATGTTCTCCGCTCGCACACTCGGCTCTTCTGAACCCCAGCACCGTCTGGAGGTGCACAGGTGACGGAGAGGAGGCTGTTGATTGCCTGTTTTTGTCATGCGGCGCCATCCATCATACTATTAGCGATGCAGGCAACAGATTCCAGGCCAAGAGCAGTGGGATGAGACGATGGAGAATAACAGCCTTTCTGTTTCATATTCAGCTGTAGACACAAAACTTTCGGCAAAAAGAAGCCTTTTCGTTTTGTCTCTTTCTCTGACCTTGCCTGTTTTTCTTTGTTCGGTTTGTGTTTGTTTTTTCAAAGAGGAGCTTATCTCTCAGCGATTTTGTTCTCCGCCAGAATAGAAGTGTGTAAAATTTCACTGACATTGACCTACATCAAATCAAACTCCGCTCACTTCCTGAAAGGTATATATTCCTCTGGCAACACTTCGTCAATACAAACGATCCTAATGGACTTGTCAGAATTCATGCCGGATTTTGTCAAAACATCAAACTTCAACCTGTGATTACATTCGAAATGTGTGAGAAAAACATCTCCACACACAATTTATTTAAACTTGAACATCTAAGAGCAGAGACTGTGTTCAATAAAACATCCAATGTTTTAGTCATGTTATTTTCACACACAGTATGCAGAGTGTTGTGGTTTAACACTTGCACTGTAGATGTCCTTGGGAGATAAGAGTGCTTCATTGTACTCTGAGCCTCAGTGAAGGCCTCCCCATTTGCATACAATGGCTATTCCATATGCAAATCCATGCACCGATGCAAGGGTTGAGAACCAGAACATAAGCAAGTCAGGGGTGTACCGCTATAGAAATCTCCAAACCTACGCACACCTGGACTCTACAACAAAAGTTGCGGGATTTGTTTACGATAAGATACACTTTCACGTAACTTTTAAGGGTGTTTCAGAAAGTCAAGGTCATACTCAAGGTCACTATTTGATAAACTGTGCTGCAGTTTATCAGCCCCCTCCCTCTGTCGCATCCAATAATTAAGAGGGGCCTCATAGGACCGTATAACAAACCATTTTCAGTGATTCTCGAAGAACCAGGTCATTCAATAAACAATCCACTGAAGTCTGGAATAAGTTCAATAGAGCGCAAGATAACCTACCCCACAGTAAGTGGGGTAACCTACCTTCTACTTCCACTAACTGGCCACTTTATTAGAAACACCTAACTTGTACTTCCACTAACTGGCCATTTTATTAGAAACCCCTACCTTGTGCTTCCACTAACTGGCCACTTTATTAGAAGCATCTACCTTCTACTTCCACGAAGTGGCCACTTTATTAGAAACACCTACCTTGTGCTTCCACTCACTGGCCACTTTATTAGAAACACCTACCTTGTGCTTCCACTAACTGGCCACTTTATTAGAAACACCTACCTTGTACTTCCACTAACTGGCCATTTTATTAGAAACCCCTACCTTGTGCTTCCACTAACTGGCCACTTTATTAGAAGCATCTACCTTCTACTTTCACGAAGTGGGCACTTTATTAGAAACACCTACCTTGTGCTTCCACTAACTGGTCACTTTATTAGAAGCATCTACCTTCTACTTCCACTCACTGGCCACTTTATTAGAAACACCTACCTTGTGCTTCTACTCACTGGCCACTTTATTAGAAACACCCACCTTGTGTTTCCACTCACTGGCCACTTTATTAGAAACACCTACCTTGCACTTCCACTCATTGGCCACTTTATTAGAAACACCTACCTTGTTCTTCCAATAACTGGCCACTTTATTAGAAACGCCTACCTTGTTCTTCACATGTCATAGTCACTGCTAAGAGCAGCTCTGTGGTCAGATGCTGACCACTGATGAAGGACTACAAGATGACTAAATCAACCTGTGCATCAACAGATCAAACTGTACACCAACAAGATGGAGCTACTAGAGAAGGGTTTGGGGGTTTTTTAGCTTTCCTTTGTCGTCTCACCTTTTTCAGTGTGAGGACTCCCTCCTGAGTCTGAGTGTCAGTGATGATCTCAAACATATCCCTCTCGTCCCCTCCTATGATTCTATATGTTGATTTGGCATTTTCCCCGGTGTCCCGGTCGTTCGCTTTCACTTTTCCACCAGGTTTCCCGATGCCGAGGTCTTCTGGGATGGTGAACTCGTACAAGCCTGCAGCACAAAAGAATAACATTTAAAACAGACAGGACAAAAAGAGTTATACTGTAGATAATCAACTGGTGGAATGCAATACAAACACTGTAATATACTTAATAATACTCTTATTATGGCATATATTAAAGTGTAGGTATGTAAAGCTATTTAAGGATACAGAACATTACGTAAAGTTACGTAAGTATTCATGATGTCATCACTACTGTCTCTAAAATCCTGCTGATCTTTGAGTTTGACTTTCTCCTCTCTCTCAAAGATGAAAGCTTTAAGCGCTGTTTATCTTCATGGTTGTTAGGAGCCCCATCTTTTCTTTATCTTTGTATCCTAGTTTTGGAAATTCTTGATTTTTTCGCTTATTTTCCTGTAAGTTTCCTCCTACTTATCTCCATATATCCAATCTATGTCTAGTCTATTCAGAACTATGGTGGTCTCTGACTGCTGTACAGTACTGTTTCAATGACAGGACATCAATGACTTAATTATCTGAAACTTGTAAATAAAATTTGCATATTCAAATTAGTTTTATATTTATCTGCATCCAAATTACTTTTGTAAATACTGATTCCAAACTTCTCAACTGTACACACTTAAAAAAAAAGTTGTTCTTCAAGGGTTCTGTAGTAAAGAAAATTGTTCTATGTAGAACCATTAACACTCAAAGAACCCTTTGCATGATTAAAGGGTTCTTTCCATCGTTAAATGGTTTTTTACATTGATGGAGAATGAGTTTGATATGGTTCTAAACAGATAAAGGGTTCTTTTATTGTTAAAAGCTTAACATCATAACAATAGCAGAGCCCTTTTTGGTGCTATATAGAACCCTTTTAAAAAAAAGTTCTATATAGTACCATCTACAGCACATTCTCCATTAACCTGAACAATGATTTAGCGATGCAAAGAACCCTTTAATCACGCAAAGGGTTCTTTGAGTGTTCATGGTTTATGTTCATGAAAGAGGCTCTGTTCACCTTTTGTAAACTTCGGTGGGTTATCATTGATATCCGTCAACGTTACGGTGACTGTGGTGGTCCCCGACATCCCACCCATGTGACCCCCCATGTCTCTTGCTTGAATGACGACCAGATACTCTTCCCTCATCTCTCGATCCATCCCGGCCAGCGCGACTTTGATGATGGCTGAAAGCAGAAGAGAAGAAAAGACAAAGGTCAGAAACACTGATTTACAGTATAAACTCGGAAATATAAAGGTACCTTTGAAGAACTTATTTTTTAGTCCCATGAGGATTTTTAATGGTTGGTTCTTCAAAGAACCATTTGTTGAATGAGATGTGTGAGTGGGTGAAGAACCTTTTTAAAGTTTAAAGAACCTCCACATGCATGGTTGATGATGTACACTGATCAGGCATAACAGTGTTTAAAAACTCCAGCAGCACTGCTGTGTCTGATCCACTCAGACCAGCACAACACACACTAACACACCACCACCACGTCAGTGTTACTGCAGTGCTGAGAACGATCCACCACCCAAATAGTACCTGCTCTGTGAGGGTCCATGGGGGTCCTGACCACTGAAGAACAGGGTAAAAGGGGGCTAACAAAGTATGCAGAGAAACAGATGGACTACAGTCTGTAACTGTAGAACTACAAAGTGCACCTATATAGTAAGTGGAGCTGATAAAATGGACAATGAGCGTAGAAACAAGGAGGTGGTCATAATGTTATGCCTGATTGGTGTAAGTACTATTACAAATACAAAGGTTCTTTGCGTGATGCCATAGAAGAACCACTTTCCAAACAGAACTAATCAGCAGGTGTGTGGGTTCGAAGAACTTTATTTTTTGAACGAAGAACCATAACATCATGTTGAGTTCATAGGAAGAACGTTTACCTTTGTATAGAACCTTTACATTATGTTCTTTAGTGAATCAAAAGTGGTTCCTTAAAGAAAGTGGTGAAGCACTATTTTTAAAGAATGTGATTGGTTCTTGGCTTAGATGTACGGTTCTAGGAAAATCAATCAGAACAGAATCCTTGTTGACCCTTTAATGTAAAACTTACACACAATGTTCTATACCTTCCATACTGCTGTAGAAGGATGTGTGTAGGTTCTCTAAACTTAAAATAACTTCTTTACAATCACACATATGGTTCTATAAGGATCTAACCAGTGGAAGGTTCTTTAGGGAACCAAAAGTGGCTCTTTTATGGCTTGTAAGACCATTGCCAACACCCTGGATGAAAGTTGTACACCCCTTGTGGCCTTTTCCTAGAATTATGTGTCCAATCTGTTTAAGAACTTTTATTTTGAAGAGTTTATGTCGAGAGTTCTAATTGCACAAAGAGCTCAGGATATTGTTCTGAAAGTAAAACTGTTTGAGCTTCCCTTTGATTTAGACTTTAATGATCTACTACTCCAATTTCCCACATTTTTACAAAGCAAAAAATTCCCATTTGAAATCTCCAAAGCTGCCGTCTGAATCGATGTCTATCTGCTGTCTATGCCGTCCTCTATGGGCTTTGCTCAGTTGACTAATTATCTCAATGATTAGCCTTTAGTCAAAGCTTTCTCTATTCCCCCCTGGACCTCCACCAACGACCTCCTAGCTTCATCATCTATTGAGTATTCTGGTGATGGAGAGAAACTACTTCCACACATTCGCCAGGAGATCTGAAAAGAGAATTAGCGAAACCTCCAACGTAGCACTTTGAAATCAGCTCTAATGATATGCAGGCCCAGCCTAATGCGGTCCCAATATCAAGCGAAGTGAGGGGTCGGCGCCCATCCTAATCCAGAGAGTGGCATGCACGGCCTGTGCTGTTTTTTTGAGTTAGCATTGCAAATTAGCTTGTTTGTTTGTTAGGAGTCGGGTGCCGGCGCCAGGAGTCATGTGTATTCTGACTCAATGTGAATTACGCTTTCTGTCTTGTATAATCCTAAATATTGTATGCAGAGTGGACTTTCTTGACTCTTGTTTCATAGTGGGGAACGTATAAAGCGCCACTGCAGCTGTGAATAATCCATTCAGGCAAAGAAGTCGACCAGCAGGATCATAAATTAAAATTATGAATCAAACTGGATCTTCAAGATTTCGGAAAGACATTTTTGTTTTTTTGTTTTTTTTTATTTATTTTTGTGTGTGCTAATGATACAGGGTTTCTGCCAAGTTAATGCACTTTAATAAAATAAAATTAAAAAAAAATAAATAGAATAAAATAAAATAATAAAACCCATAAAATCATGAATAAAAAAAGAACATGCAAAAATTCAATTAAAACAAGAATGTTTATGCAAAAAATACAATAAATAAATAAATGAATAAATAAATAAATAAATACATAAATAAATGCTGCTTGATAATATTAAAGCACTCAAAATATAGAATAAAATAAAATAATAAAACCCATAAAATCATGAATAAAAAAGAACATGCAAAAATTCAATTAAAACAAGAATGTTTATGCAAAAAATACAATAAATAAATAAATGAATAAATAAATAAATAAATAAATAAATACATAAATAAATGCTACTTGATAATATTAAAGCACTCAAAATAAACAACGTTGATGAAACCTAAAGCAGTTTGCAGAAGCCCATGTTTGTCCCACTCTGGGCCAGATTTGGGCCCGTTCTATATAAATAATTCATCCAGTGGGTAAATCTGTATTGTCTGCCTGGTTCGTAATGCCGGTCTGAGTGCCTGTCTCTCTGGCCCTTCCACGGAGGTCACATCATTTGTACTGAAGCAGCAGCTAACAGCTAACAGGCCACAGCGAGTTGAGTGAAGACTTTTTCCTGGTGGCAGACTGCCTGGATTTTGTGGAAGGCTATTAGAAAAGGTAGGCAGGAAAATCAGCTGAGGAAGCAAGCTGATGGAAGAAAAGGACCTCCTGTAAAGCTCCTGCCACTCTGGACAGCCGGCAGGTCATGCTGCCAAAGCCAGGCTGAGCGTGTTTTACTGCAAGCTATTTGAAGTGCTAGAAAATGCAGTGCAGTCTGGAGCCCTAACATGACGCAGTGGCAGCTTTCAGGAAGACACGTCCAGGCTTTCCAGAGACGGGAGGAGGATTACGGTGATTTACCACAGAGGAGGAAATACATCAAAAATGAAATAACCTTTAAATGCATTGGTTGGTGCATAGTTAGCATCATTAGCAACATAAATTGGTCTACAAACTGGCATGAGAGTGTAAAATTGCCCAAATATAAGATTTTATGGTAACACTTTCTATGAATGTCACCATTGTAAGCATCTATAAACACTTTTATAACATGTTATAATGCCTTCATACAGTATTATAAACATGATTATAAACATTTATAAAAATGAATTACACTGAATTACACTTTATAGCCATGTTTATTATACATTATGAATTGTTAATATAATGCATTATAAGTAGTGTTGCTAACATGCTATACTGTCAGTGCCAAAGAAGTCAGTCCCAGCTTGGAGAGCGTAAAGTAAAGTCAAATACCAAGCTAACGGTGGTGAACATTACCTTTCCCACATTGGGTAAAACACTGATGGCAGCTCTAGTTTAAACTCTGACATTTGAAGCCTGTAATGTGCTTTACTGTGTATGTTTTAGTGTTTCAGTAAATCCTTCAGTAAATACTTCAACTTGAAGCCTCACTCTGAACACTGGAGGAGGCTTTAGTACAGTACGCTTCACTTTACTTACAGCAGACAAATACCACTTATGAGCTCTTATAATTTGTTATGATCAGTACTTATAATGTATTATGTTAACAATTCATAATGCATAATAAGCATGGCTATAATGTGTAATGCATTTTTATAAATATTTATAGCCATGTTTATAATGCCTTAAGAATGCATTATAACATGTTATGAATGTGTTTATAGATGCTTACAAAGGTGACATTCATAGAAAGTGTTACCGATTTTATTTCCCTATTTTGTTTGGAGAGGTAGAAGGGAGGAAGCAAAAGTATATATGCTGTACATGTTACCAGTCTTATCTCTAAGGTTTTAACTTTATATACACTAACATATTTGGATTAGAATCAGAAATTGGATGGCACTCAGTAATAATAATAATAATAATTTGTGTAATTGTGCAATTCTATTTTATTCCAAGTACAATTGCACTATTATTAATGTTCACAGTTGCTATTCTTGCTGCTTTTCACCTTTGGAGGACATGATAGAGTGCTACAAAAATAGTGTACATGATTCTTTCACCTTCAGAAAACTTAAGAGTTTATTGTCACTGTCGCAATAAAACCTCGTATTTCCAAACTTGAATAAATGTGTAAAAGACTTAAACAGACATTAAAGTCGTTTCTATTGGCTCATTCCTCATGAAGTCTGTAAAACTGATCTATGAAGTTTTGATCATTTAAAGTGTACATGACCGTGGCAGTTATTTATTTATTTATTTTTTTTTACCTTCTGAAAATAAAAATACACATTTAAAGGATAAAAACAGGCTAACATATATGTGAGTTTATCTTCAAAGGTGGGTATACTTGGGGATTTGCACTCATTTATTGGTGAGATTGGGGTCGAGTGATAAGATAATGCATCTACATTAATGTGAAACTACTGGACAGCAACGAGAAACTACACTTGACTACAATTACCACTGAGAAAATATGGAAATAAAGCAAAAGAAGATGATTAAAATGTTAATAAGCACGGTGTTGTTGTCATAACGCAAACCTCTCCAGAATATTAACTTTATGAAATACCATAGTAATACTATGGGTATTTTTTTAGTAACACTTTAAAACTTAAGTGTACTATACAATACAACATTAGATTTTACTATAAGCAGTTTAATATAATTTCTATTCAATGTTATTTATCTGGTAGTAGAATGAGTCGTACTGATGAGCTCAGTGACTTTTAGCATGGCACTGCCATAGGATGCCACCTCTGCCACAGGTCAGTTTATGGAATTTCTGTCCCGCTAGATCTGCCCCAGACAACTGTAAGTGCTATTATTGTAAAATGGAAGCATCTGGGAGCAACAACAGCTCAGCCACGAAGCGGTAGACCACCAAACTAACACAGTGGTACCGCCGAGTACTGGCCCTCACACAGTCCTGACCTCAACCCCACTGAACACCTTTGGGATGAGCTAGAATGGAGATTGTGAGCCAGAGCCTCTCGTCAACATCAGTGTCTGACCTCACAAATGCTCTTCTGGATGAATGGGCAAACATTCCCACAGACTCTCCAACATCTTGTAGGAAGCTTCCCAGAAGAGTGGAAGCTGTTAGAGCTGCAAAGGGGGACCAGCTCCATATTAATGCCTATGGGTTTAGAATGGGATTCATAAAAGCTCCTGTAGGTGTGATGTGTAGGTGTCCCAATACTTTTGTCCATATAGTGTATATGTTATGTCAACATGTCATCAAGCATCACATGCAAACTTTATAATAATTTCTAGTGGACGTAGTATTTATAAATGTTTAGGTTTATATCAGTTGTCACAAAGCGCTTATGTAGTCAGTAATAAACATGGGCTGTAAAAGAAAGCAATAATTTTTATTATGGTTTTACTCCATCTTTACCATTTACTTTACTTTCCTGCTTAAACATGTAACATTCCACCATTTCCATTTCAATTCCATTTCCAAACGACGTAAACATGTCATAAAAAACATGAAAACCTATAAGATATGAAAATGCAACTAAGGCGAGTGTTAATTCGACAAAACTTTGTAAGACGTATGCATAGAACGTCATTGTTTAGCTATTTTTTATGCATATAGCCTCTTTATCCAGTATAATCTTAAAGTATTCAAATGAATTCCTCATCATCAGAGAGGGGAAGAAACACAAACATTAATTTCCATAGATATTTGGGAAGATTTCTGCCAACAATTAAGCCAGTGATGAATTGAAGCATGATGTTTACTTATTTATTGAATGCGTCTCATTTCCTACGTCGTGCTGGAAGTGTCAAATGGATCCTAATGGTTGTTTTCCCTTTACCTTTTATTTTTCATTAACATTCATTAAAACATCTGGCTCACTTGAATGAGCCATCTGCATGTGCTCAGTAATCACGCGCACGGCGCTCGCTGCTACTCAATTTAAGCTCCTCAAACTTCCCTCGACCATTTGCATTTCCACACTTTGACTGGCAGTGAGTGATTGAAATGCATTGTGTCGTGGAGCAGTCATTGTATGTTAGAGAGCGGGAAAAAAAAAAACAACAACAACAACAAAAAAAAACACAAGCTATATTTGTTTAATATGCACATACAATTTGGACAGACACAGGCCTTGTTTATTGTCTGTTGTGTTTCCAAATTACGAGCTGTTCATTTCCATCTCATTGCTTATTAATGTAATTTCACCATTATTTAATCATGTTGCTTACAGACACTGTTAACAAGTCGGCTGAAAATGCAATTAGGAAAAAAACAAAGTCAAGGTTGAAAAGAAGCAGAGCTGCAGATGGAATTCAAAGATAGCCCTGTCATTTAAATCAAGCAGGCGTGCATTACTTCACACGCCATTTCTGTTCAGCGCTAGTTCTGTTTGTCTTTCGGATGCATTTTTCCCGTTTATTTAATTACTTAAAATCATTTTCCACCTTTATTCATATCAAAAGATGACCTGGCCTGCTAGAATAAACAACTCAGGCATGTGTAGCATTATCATTAACAAGCATCGTTATCTAAAGGGGGGGAGGGAATGTTTCTGATCAGATTAAAATGAAACAATTAGGATGTATTTACATGATTTTTGCAATTTATGAGCATCTGGGCTTTGCAGAGAAACGTGTGAATGTGTGTAGTTGTGTAAAAGCAGCACACTCACCATCGTACTGGTCAATGGAGAAATAAGGCTGCCCCTCCAAAATGCTGTAGACGAGTTTAGCGCTGTTTCCATAGCCAGGATCGTCAGCGTCAGTGGCGGTGACCCTCATGACCGACGTACCTGCACAAGCAGTGAAAAACACAGTGGTAAAAAGAAAAGAAGCTCCACTGACCTGGTCAAGCGGACTGTATATAATGCAATGTTAAGCTTAGTTTCATGTAAATTTCAACCAATTGAAGCTGAACAAACATTTTATCATGTAAAGCCAGCCTTAATTAACCATCATCACTCATCACTTGTTTAAGTTAAGAAACCCTTATTAGTCCAACAACTGGGAAATTTCACCTCCACGTTTTATCGTCCATGCAGTGAAACACAACATACACACTAGGGGGCAGCGAGCACACAGAGCGGTGAGCAGCCCTATCCACGGCAGCCTGGGAGCAGTTGGGGGTTAGGTGTCTTGCTCAAGGGCACTTCAGTCACGTACTGTCAGCTCAGGGAATCAAACCAGCGACCTTCCTGTCACAAGGCTGGTTCCCTAACCTCCAGCCCACGACTGCCCCTAAGTTAAGTTACCCTTATTAGTCCCACTAGGGGGCAGTGAGCACACTTGCCCGGAGCGGTGGGCAGCCCTATCCACGGCACCCTGGGAGCAGTTGGGGGTTAGGTACCTTGATCAAGGGCACTTCAGTCACGTACTGTCAGCTCAGGGGATCGAACCAGCGACCTTACGGTCAGACTGGTTCCCTAACCTCTAGCCCATGACTCCCCCTTCAAAGGACCATGTGCTATTCAGTAATGTCTCAATGTCAAAATGCAGCCAGGTTTATTAATATTTGGTTGTTGAAAAAGTTGTTGCATTCTAGCTGTTTATTGCAGCATATTGAAGCTGAAAAAATGTAAATGATAAACATGCAGACTTTCACCTTTAATTTGAGAACATTTACAACCAAATCAGATGTATGGTCTAGGAATTGGCACCATTTTCAGACAAAGCCCCCTTCCCCCAATTTTTAGGGACCCAAAAGTAACCAGACAAACTAACATAATCATAAATCACATTGTCATTTTAATCCCTGGTGGTAAATTCTTTGCAATCAATAGCCACGTTTGCATGCAGCCTGATAATTCATTGATAATCTGGCTAATAGCTCAATCGGAACAGAATACATGTAAACACCTCAGTCGGAATAGATTAGTCCAATTCGGCCATTCGGAATACAATTTCTATCCGACTGATCGAGGTGGGTAATCCTGTAAATAATCCTTAAATAGAAGAATAATATCCGTGTAAACGCCTGTATCTGATTACATTCCCTATCGGAAAGTTTAAGTCCGTTCTGATCATGTTCTTTGCGTCATAGTGAGAGTTTATACCGTTCAACATGGCGGAGCAGAAACTGGTCTGCAGAGGAGACGAAGTTTATGCTCTGATCTTTAAAAGACGGCGGTGGGACGGACGTCCAGCTTATGTGTCTCAAAACACGACGTCTTCCTCTCGGCCTTCTTTAATAAGGACACGTGAAGGACGTTTTCCTGACTCTGACATCATTTTAAAGTAATTAAAAACACAAGCGCTGCTCACTGCTGCTCGTCGCACTCTGACTGGACTCACCTGATGCTGGTTGTCATGGTAACGTCTACACTAAGTGGTTCTCTACACATGCACGTAATTCTGAATCTGATTACTTGCAGTACGTATGTATATGGAGATTTTCTTCAGATTGTTGAGTACAGTGAGCATAAACACCTCAGTCTTGATCTATAATCGGATTGTATTCAATGGCCAAAATTCGCATGTAAACACAGCCAGTGAAGGCCGGAGTTTGGAACCCCTACACATCACCAGATGCTGGGTTTCTTCCCTGGTGATGCTCTGCCAGGCCTTTACTGCAGCTGTCTTCAGTTCCTGCTTGTTCTTGTTGTGTTTTACCTTCAGTTTTACCTTCAGTAAGGATAAGCAGGCTCAATGGGATTCTAATCAGGTGATTGACTTGACCAGTGCAGAACATTCCACTTCTCTGCCTTAAAAAATCTCTCTCTCTTTGTTTCCTTGGGTTGGTTTTTTGAGTTTTCAAGCATTTGGCTGAACCTGGATAGATAATATTGCCTTGTACACTTCAGAATTCATCCTGCTGCTTTTATCACATTTCATATGATCAATAATCAGTTCCACTGGCAGTCATACATGCCATAACACTACCTCCAAATGAAGTGGTATGCCTTCGTTCTGGAGCAGTTTCCCTTCCCCACACTCTTCTCTCCCATCATTCTGACACAACTGAGTCTTTGTCTCATCTGTCTATAAGAAGTTGTGCTAGAACTGTACAGGCTTTTTTATTTGGTAGTTTTTTCTGGCAAACTCTGATCTGATCCCTCCTGTTTTTGAGGCTTACCACTGTTGTGGTGAACCCTCAGTGTTTACTCTGGTGAAATATTCTATTGATTGTTGACTTTGACACAGACACGTTGTTTAAAAGGGGGGTTTTCTTCACCAGAGAAATAGTTTGTCTGCCATCCACTTTGGTTATTTAGTTCTCTGAACCCTCTGGTGTTGGTGGTCTGAGCTCACCAGTCCTCTATCTTAAGAATGTATAAATTTAAAAATTTCCAAATAGCTGATTTGGCCATATCTAAGAAGTTTGCTGTCTCTCTCTTTTCAGCCTAATGATGTCTTGCTTCAGTGGCAGTGAAGCTCTTTGAGCTTGCTATTAAGAGCTACCAGCAACAGATTCCAAATGCAAATGCCACACTGGAAAGGAGGACAACTAAAACGACAGTAACAAAACATTCAGGAATGTATTAGATATATACAAGGTAAATATATTAAATGATGTTATCTAAAACTACTCTTCAGTCTCCAAGTGTGCATGTCAAATATCTCCTTGGTCAAAACAAATGTGTTTCAGCCAGAAAATCCCAACACAACCAAAGTAAATGTAACCAGAGAAGACAAAAAAATAAAAAAATAAAAAAATAAAAAAAATGTGCAGGAGGTTAAATTTGAGTCCTACTTGTAAGGGTGTCAATGGCACTGAGTGTTGATTTGCTTCTTTCTCTTTGTTATTCACTTCCCTTTTGTATTATTATGTCCGCTATTTTCCCCTGTTTGAGGGGATAAGTGTACAGCACACATTCAGAGACTATTCTTTCTTTTTAAGAATGTAAGAATTTAAGAATTTCCAAATTGTTGATTTGGCCACATCAAATGTATTTGCTATCTCTCTGATGGGTGTGTTGGTTTTTTTTTTTAGCCTAATGATGCCTTGCTTCACTGGCACTGAAGCTCTTGAACTTCATATTAAGAGTTACCAGCAACAGATTCCAAATGCAAATGCTGCATTTGAAAGGAGGACAGCTAACATAATAATAACTTTGTCAAAATATTCATGGCAGTTTTAGACATATCACTAAAATGTGTTATCAAAAACTACTCCTGGATCTCCAAGTGTGCATCTCAAACATCTACTTGGTCAGGAAATTTGTGTTTCAGCCAGAAAAACCCAAGATCACCAAACTAAATGTTACTTCAGAAGCCATGTGCAGAAGGTTAAATTCGAGTCATACTGGAAATTTCCAGGGTGTCAATGGCAACGAGTGCTGGTTTGCTTCTTTCTCTTTGTTTCTTCACTTTCCTCTTGGATTCTGTGTGTTTCTCAGTTCACTATTTGTCCCTGCTTGAGGGGATAAGTGTACAGCACACTTTCGGAGAGTGCCCCTATAACGATGCTTCCCTCCAGTCTCACATTTACCGCCTGCCTATTAACTCAGAGATGCAGCTCTGAGCTGGTGCAAACCTGGGTTACCATGGCAAACATAACCACCTTACAATCCAGAGAAAATAAATATTGATGCCCATGTATTTCTCTTTTTTTCAATGTGTTATAGCCTGTTTGGACACTATCTGGACATGCCCATATATTACATTTAGTCATTTTTGTGTTTTTTGCAGGTTCACATTATGGCCTACATCAGTGATGGTAGCTTACAAATGGACCCTGCAGTGTGTGTGTTTACTCAGTGAATGTTCCTCATGTACTCCCACTATTGTCTACCACCTGTTTCGCCCTGTGCCACAATACTGTAAACGTCCACAGATGATAAATGGCTGACACGGCATCTCCGCCTTTAACAGCGAGCAAGAAAATAAATAAATGAGAAAAACACCAGCTCCATTGCACTCTGACTTCAAAACCTGGTTTAGTATTGCAACCCAATTATTTCAGACAGAGAGAGCCTGAAGTGGCCCTCAGAGACGCATGTTTGTCAGTAATTCATGTGCTTGTTGTGTACAAACAAAAACAAGCCAGGGCTCTACCTGCGACTTCTCACACTGCTCGTTACAGCTGGACACGAAGGTGTACAGGAGTTGTTATTTCGCCTGTGCTCGGCCGTTCGAGGATGCCTGTGAGTGCACGCGCCACGTGTTTAATAGATGAAGTGTTTCCTTATCGCTAAGCCAAACTATAAAAACATATGAAAACACACTCCACAAGACCCTCGGGACTTACTTTGGTGCTCCCTGTAAGTCAGCCGCCTGATTCATGTTAAGATAAAAGCAATCCATTTATCACATTCTTGGAAGAGCATATTTCTTTTTATTTACTCGTTTCTGCTCCCTCTCTCAGAAGCTGCCTCCGAGGCTCAGAACTTAATAAAGACGTTACAGATTTCTAGAGCGCTGAGTGCTGCTATTCTAACACATTTGCTTTTGCTTCTGGACAGCTGCTGAGGAAAACAGAGGAAGAAGAGTGCTAAGCTAAAGCAAAGCTAATTGCAAGCCAGCTGGAAGGTCCAGTGGAGAGTAAGCCAGCACCTAGAGACACTATTCACACTGGAGTGAAATGAGTTTGTTCTCTTTAGTTAGAGCTTTAAAGCTTTTTTTGTGGTAGACATGAAATGTCATTTCATCTCCAGTCTTTGGAGGACCCTCAGTTGATCTATGCATTTTTTTTTCTACAGTAACATTGATGGAATGCATTTGATGGAAATGTGTATATTTTACAAAACTGGAACACAAAGGTTCGTCTTACATTTGCAAAAAAAAACATCTAGTTGACCCCCAGGACTTTTGGGACAATATCCTGTGGACTGTTGAGTCAAAGATGAAACTTTTT